TGTACCCCGATGACTTGATGCCACTGGGTGGAGGGAATCTGGCAGGAGCATCCTGCAGCACAAATCCTGCAGTGCTTTGTTACAACACCATGGAAGGTTGTATGACAAAAACTATGAGTGGGACATGGGATGTTATGAACCCAGCTTTTTAAATATTATGCCTCTCTATGCCCAATCTTATATATATGCAGAGTACATCATGCGAAATGCTGGCCTGGATGAATCACAAGCGGGAATTAAGATTGCTGGGGAAAAGATCAACAACCTCAGATATGCAGACGATACCACTCTGATGGCAGAAAGTGAAGAGGACCTAAAGAGCCTCTTGCTCAGGGTCAAAGAGGAGAGCGCAAAAGTGGGCTTGAAGCTCAACATCAAAAAAACTAAGATCATGGCATCCGGCCCCATCACTCCTTGGCAAACAGAAGGGGAAGTCGTGGAAATAGTGACAGACTTCACATTCCTGGGATCCCAGATCACCGCAGACTGTGATAGCAGCCATGAAATTAAAAGACGCCTGCTCCTTGGGAGGAAAGTGATGGCAAACCTAAACAGCATGATAAAAAGTAGAGACATCACCCTGCCAACAAAAGTCCGCATGGTCAAAGCAATGGTATTCCCAGTAGTCATGTATGGCTGCGAAAGTTGGACTATAAGGAAGGCCGAGCGCCAAAGAATAGATTCTTTTGAACTATGGTGCTGGAGAAGACTCTTGAGAGTCCCTTGGACTGCTAGAAGATCAAATCAGTCAATCCTAAAAGAAGTCAACCCTGACTGTTCGCTGGAAGGCCAGATAATGAAACTGAAGCTCAAATACTTTGGCCACCAATGAGAAGGGAGCACTCACTGGAGAAGACCCTGATGCTGGGAAAGATTGAAGGTCAAAGAAGACGGGGACGGCAAAGGATGAGATGGTCAGACAGTGTCATCGATGCAATGAACATGAAGTTGAGCAAACTTCAGAGGACGGCAGAAGACCGGAAGGCCTGGCGTGATCTGGTCCATGGGGTCGCGAAGAGTCGGACTCAACTGTGCGACTGAACAACAACAGATGCCCAGTCTTGGCCCTCCGTTGTTCACCATGAGATCAGATGCTGGACTGAATGGATCACTGGTCTGATCCAGCAGGGCTTTTCTGATTCTTTTAAAAATATATATTTTAATCATAGTTATGTGTGAAATAACAATGCCATATTAAAGTGCAATTCTTGCAACCATTAGTGATTCCATTCATCCACCCCCCCACCCCCGTTCTTACGATTCATTATTTCCTTCAACTTGTTCATCATAGGAATATTGTGAGATCAGTTTCTGATAACTCTGACTCTGGGTTATAAGAACAGGTGGGGCCAATTTCCTCTCCTCTTAGCCGTTCTCCACCCTTAGTCACAGATTTTACTGCAACGGCAATAAGGTTCCACCTGGAGGTCTGTTGACCTGTGTATCCACTTCTGTGTATGTTTTCATGGCCATTCTTCTATGCAGAGGAACTGTCAACCATATTTACTGTATCTTTTCCAATGTCATTCAAAGTGCAGCCACAAAAGGATGAGTTTCATTGGGTTCTTTTAAGCAGCGCAATTTGTTCAAGTTTTGTAATGCTCCAAGATGTGAATGTTTTGACATGCAAATTGTTGCAGAAATGCCTCCAGATTTTCCACTTCAAAACAGGCTGAGGAAACAGCCAGAATTAATATAAATGTTAAATATCTCCTATGGCTACAGTTATTTTGAGTTTATCAAATTAGTCCCACCGGGACTGAAGGGAGCCAGATTCACTAAAGGGTTTTCTCTCGATCCCATACTAGAGACTTCAGTTAGTCTGACAGCCGGGGCTCTCAGCCAGGGCCATTTCACCACACAGGCACAGCAGGCCATTGCTTGGGGTCCCATTCGGAGGCAGTGCAGGGGAGAGAGCCATTGCTAGACAGGGAGGAGGCCTCCAGCATCGCCTCCTAAAGAGCCAGTGTGGTGGAGTGGTGAAGAGCAGCAGATTCTGACCTGGAGAACTGGGTTCGATTCCCCACTCCTCCTCCACATGCAGTCAGCTGGGTGATCCTGGGCCAATCACAGTTCTCTCAGAGCTCTCTCAGCCCCACCTACCTCACAGGGTGTCTGTTGTGGGGAGGGGAAGGGAAGGAGATTGTAAGCCACTCGGAGAGTCCGAAAGAAGAATGGGGTATAAATCCAATCTCCTCCTCCTCCTCCTCCTCCTCCTCCTCCTCTTCTTCTATTCGTTTACTGACTTCCTCAAAGCAGAGGTAGCAGAGAGAGGGGAAATAAAAAAAAATCCTTAAACAGAGTAAGATGCCTCAGACTTACGGTGAGAGTTGCTCTATTGTGGAAGGTCCAGTTTTAATAGATAAGGTCCAATCCACAATTAAATACTTTGCGGAAGGGAAAACACCAGATGCTCTGTTCAGTGCATTCCACTCTGCCTCGCGGAAGGATCAACACTGCCTTTCATAGAGTTATTGAATGCCAATGAAGGTTATTGGAATTGGAATTGGATCAACACTGCACTTTGTTAAGAGCATCACTCTGTCCCGAAAGGGGCCCAAATGGAAGCTTGGCCATGTAATATGTTAACATTAAAATGTAAGATGCATGGAAGCGTTCATCATTTAGACCAGTCTCTTTGCTTACCACTAGCCGTGCCAGTTTCAGGTTGAGAAATTCCTGGAGTTTTGGGGCTGGAGCCTGTGGAGGGTGGGGTGCAATGCCACAGAGTCCCCCCTCCAAAGCAGGCATTTTCTCCAGGGGTCTGGAGATCCCTGGTAACTCTGGGAGGCACCAAGGCCCCACCTGGAGGTTGGCAACCTTACTTACTATACCGACTATGAAATCATAACATCAATACGGAATAACAGATTAGGGGAGGCAAAATGCAGCAGCAACAAGGCCAAGCACTCAGGCACTGCTAAGAGAGAGGAAAGCATCATCCTTTTCTCCCAGGCAACAGAAGACAGCCTGAAAGGCCAGCCGCATATTTGGGACAGAACCTCTGCTCAGCAAGACTTGGCAACAGACTAGATTTTACACTTCCCATATGAGACATTAATGGGGGGAGTGACAGAGCCAGGGAAGAAGTGCTTAGAAGGTAAAGTTGCATTGTATGGAATCAGACCATTGGTCCATGTTTTGTTGTTGTTCAGTCGCACAGTCGAGTCCGACTCTTCGCGACCCCATGGACCAGATCCCGCCAGGCCCTCCTGTCCTCCGCTGTCCATGTTACCTCTGTAATAATAAAGTATTCAATCCACTTAATAGGTGTCCTGTTTAAATTGTATCAAATTACTCCATGGGTTTTCTACAAACGACTAGGTGTGCTGGTTGGCTATACTCTTCAGCACAATCCTGCCATATGCTCAGGCCAGGCTGGAGGAAGCCAAAATTGGCACACTTCTGCATGGTACATGCAGGCCTGTAGCTACAGTGGGGCATCTCGGGGCCTGCCCCCCCAACTTCCTGCCAAGCCCCCCCCGACTTCCCATCCAGCCCCCAAGCCCCCCAACTTCCAATTTTTCATTTTATTTGTGGTGCTCCCTTGGGAGTGTGTGCGGGAGTGCCCCCCGACTTATTTAAAGGCCCCCTGAATTAAAAAATCCTGGCTACAGAATGGTCCATTTTAAGACTCTGAATCCAGGCCTCCCTGTCTCCCTGATACACCAACAACTCATGGCAGCAACTATGACGTAGTCCACGCTAACAGATTACACTTAGGGAAAACTTTAGATGGTGTATTAACTCTCGTGCCAGGGGGCTTAAAGGCAATGCAAAGCAGAGAGTGAAAAAAAAAAACTTTACATACATGCTAGATCAAAAGCAGTGATTTTAATGAATGCTGCTTCTGTGAAATGTGGGTGTCAGACTGAAAGGTGCCACAGAATGAACTGCGGCGGGGGGGGGGGTCTATTCTAAGAGTCTGGGAGTTGGTGCTTTGGTCTAGCTCCAGAAGTTGTCCAGAAGATAGGAAGTGAGTGGGAGAAGTAGGAGGGGTTTCACTGGAAGGAAATAGTGGCCTATTGGATGGGTGTCTAGCAGCAGTAACACAAAGGAGAAGAAGAAAACCGGAAGTCTTGTGGGGAAATACGAGGGAGGGAGAGCAGATGATGGACAAGAATAAATCTTCTTTATTTGTTTAGATAAGGTCCAGTGGTCAGCATTTATTAAAAATCTCTGTTGCAATATAGCTAGGACAAAAAAACTGACAGCTTTATGATGAGCAGAATAGTTTCCCTCTTCCATTGTGCTCTATCATAATTCAGCAACGACAGACAGATCTCCAAGAAAAAGTAGCGGATTGAATAGCTTATCTGTGCCTTTGCGGGAAGTGTAAGATTGGCAATTGAAAGCTAGATGTAAAGAATAACACATTTTTTAAAAAAAATTGTCTGCAATTTTAGACACTCCAGAGAACTCAGACAATGTTTCCATGGCAGACTGCACATGCTGAATGTGGAAGGCAACTCCGGGGGCTCTATTTTTACCCAATCTCTCTCTCTACTTTTTTTTAATGCTTGAAAAATGGTTTGGAGAAGGGGGGGGGGGTTAGTCAGAAAGGCAAGTGAATACTTAAGAAAATAGGTCAACCACCAGCCCCCCCCCCCGGTCAGTATACCTGTTTCTCATTCAGAGATGCATGGCCCCTGGTGCACAGGATGGGAGGAGGAGGAAGAGGAGGAAGAGGAGGAAGAGGAGGAAGAGGAGGGATTGGATTTATACCCCACCCTTCACTCAGAGTGGTTTACAATCTCCTTTCCCTTCCGCTCCCCACAACAGACTCCCTGGGAGGTAGGTGGGGCTGAGAGAGCACTTTCCAGAACTGCCCTTGAGAGAACAGCTCTGAGAGACCTTGTGACTGACCCAAGGTCACACCAGCAGCTGCATGTGGAGGAGTCAGGAATCAAACCCGGTTCTCCCAGATTAGAGTCTGTGCTCCTAACCACTACACCAAACTGGAGAGAGGACAGGGTATCATTACAGACAGTTTTCCATACCACAGATTGACAAGGAAAGGATGCTCCAGCCCCTGCATGATCTGTAGCTCTCGAAGGACGTTCCGGACCTCATCTCTCTCGATGCACTTCTGTTTATTCATATATTTCATGGCATACATTTTCTTGGTGTCTCTCTTCTGGACAATGCACACCTGACGGGTGTCAAAGGAAAAGAAGTTTCACATCAGATCCCCAAAGTGAAAGCCATGTCTTTATTTAAAACAAAACAATTAGAGAGACAGACCACCAGCTTTCTTCTTCCAGTGCCGGGGCTTTAAAAATAATTACTGGATCCAAATCTGAATAAAGAGAACTACATTTGTTTGAAACAGCACCACTTTTATGATAACACAGTTCCTTACCTTCACCTTGGAGTATAGTTATGTCCAAATCACTGAATTTACTTTTTAAATAACAAACTAAATAAAATATTGTGAAAAATTTCTTTGAGGTTATTTTTGAGAATGGCATTAAGGTTGCCAGCCCCCTAGTGGGGGCAGAGGATCCTCCCCACATCTTGTTTCCTGCCACTGTTCAGATGGCAGTGGGAGAAATATTCTTTTAAAATGGGCATTGGCCTGATAGCATTACATCACTTTCAGAGAAAATCCAGAAGAGATGTCTGTCCTCTCTAGGAATTGCCAGAAACTCTGCGGTTTTACCAAAGAGTTTCCAGAACTCTTTCCTCTAGAAAGGTATGACATCACTTCTGGGTTTTCCTGGAAGTGACATCATATCATTGCCGGCACCTCCCTTGTGTCCCTATTCCTCACTCTGTTGCTGGTTGCCAGGCCATGTCTGGCAATCCTTAATGGCATCCGCACAAATCTTTTTGTCAGTCTGCATGCAGTTGACCTGGCACAGTTCCTCACTTTTAACATGCAAGCCCTGGTAACTCAATTTTCCAAAGTTTTTGTGCTGCTTGTGTTTTTGACTTGAGCAGGTCAGCATAAAAATATTCTAAATAAATACATTTTGACTTGCCTGCTACATGCTCCCATTTGTTTCAAAAACCAGACCTGTGCAGGGAAACCTCCCCACAGATTGTACCCAGTGCTATTCCTCCCTGTATGCAGCAGTAACCAGGGATTTGAGAAGCAGGCGATACGCTTCATACCACAAAAAAGCTTTTGAAGTTTCAGGACTAAATTTAAATGTAATTTAAGAAGGCCAGACCGTGAAATATATTTGATACAGTGAACAGAGAACTAGAAGTAGATTTGCCTCTCAACCTGGATGAGACTCAGAGTTGCACACGCAGAGGGCTGAGGCTCAAAGGTTATTTTGCTTCTAAAACCACATGAAATGATAACATTTCATACTAAGGTTATGTTTAAACACTTATTTACATACATATTGTCAGTTAGAACATGCAGGGGAACTAAAAAACACCATAATCACTCTGCTTTCATTTTTGTCCTGAAATAAATACATAGGAAGGCCCTTTCTAGACAGAAAGGGACTGTGGACCATGCCGCTGTGCCTAGGGTATATTATCTATTTGCTGCATGTATTACACTATTGTCACTGCGTTATCTTCTACTGATGTCATACCATTTTTTCTGCATTGTATCTGTAATTTATACCATGTCTAATAATCTGTGCTTATTCAGATTTCTGTAATCCTCACCCTAGTACGTTGCTTGTTATGTTACCCCCACCCCCAATCTCTTGCCCTTGATAAACTAAGGACTGGGAAGGGAAAAAATGGCCTCCATAGTGATGCTCTAGGAATTTCCCCTAGTCTCTATGGTCTTTACCATAGAGATTAGGGTAATTTCTAGTGCATAACCCAGAATAACTCAGAAGAGTTTTTGGCTAAACTTTAGGAAGAACTTCCTGACAGTTAGAGTGGTTCCTCAGTGGAACAGGCTTCCTTGGGAGGTGGTGGGGCTCTCCTTCGGAGGTTTTCAAGCAGAGGCTAGATGGCCATCTGACAGCAATGCGGATTCTGTACATTTAGGCAGATCATGAGAGGGAGGGCAGAATGGGTTGCCTCAGTGCTTAGTTCTTGTGGCCGTTCTTACACACCCAGGGAAATGCTGATTGCCACTTCGGGGTACGGAAGCCATTATTCTCCAGGCCAGTTTGGCCAGGGATCCTGGAGGTTTTTTGTCATCTTCTGGGCATGGAAGAGTGGTCACTGGATGTGTGGGTGGGGGAGGTATTTGAGTATTTCCTACATTGTGCAGAGGGTTGGACTAGATGACCCTGGAGTCCCTCCCAACTCTGTGATTCTATGATCCTCCCCAGGCCCCACCCACCCCAGGCACTGCTCCCACAAGTGACCCAACCTGCTGCCTAGGCAGTGTTGGGAAGCCTGTTAGGCCCTGGCAAGTGTCCCCCCCTGACCTGCAGAGTGAAGTTGGAAAATCAAAGCCAGTCAGAGTCAAGAGACAAAAACTCCTACTTGGCCCCCAAAGGCAACCAGCTCCAGCTGTTCTACTAGTAGAGCTGCCAATCCCCATGTGGTCTTAGAATTTCTCCCAAAATTACAGTTCTTCAGTCCCCCTGGATAAAATGGCTGCTTGGGAGGGTGGACGCCATGGCATCACATCCGCCCCCTTAATCTGTAATTTAGAGTTGGCAACCCTGTGTACCAAGGCAGGACCAAGGGTGTCACCCCTGGACCAAAGAGGCTCGACTCCAGCAGGGCAATATGCCCTCCTTCAAAGCTGCCTCCAGCTCCCTCCTGATTAGCTCACTCAAAAGAGGCCACAGGTGGGTCTCTTTTCTCCATAGCTGGCAGCAAAGCCCAGCCTCTGCCGTCAGGTGCAGGAGCCGGAGCAGCAGTCTTCTGGGGCAGGGCAGAAGTCTTGGCTGGGCATCATTCTGATTCTGAAGGCAACAAGAAGACACCTGATCCGACTGGACTGGTTTTCGATGCCGAATTAACTACATACGCCACGGGATCTGGTTGCTATAGCAACCTCTGTAATTTTAGGGAACATCTAGAATTAGACAGAGAGTCCAAACAGCAACAGGAAAATAGATCCGATCCCCTTCCCAGACACTGGCCAGAGAAATACATTTTAAAAGCATTGGGGGGGGGGTCAGAGTAGGAGCAGTTTTTAGGAAAGGGAGGAGCGAAGAACCAGTTCTACCGGCCCGAATGAGGTTCCAAATGTTGACCCAGCACTGACAGTTAAAATTCACAGGGGCATGTGGCAGTGGAAGATGCCAGGGACTGAAAATCTTCAGGCAAAGCACGCGCTTGACCGCTGAGCTTTCCCTGAAACTGTGCCCCTCCCTTGCCACTGTTTCAAGCCAGATGTTCTCCTAGTAGAGATCTGAAATCAGACAGGCCTGTAGCTACAGTGGGGTATCTTGGGGCCTGGCCCCTTACTGCCAAGGCCCCCCCAACTTCCCATCCAGCCGGGCCGCTCCCTTGGGGTGTGTGTGCAGGGGTGTGTGTGTGTGTGTGTGGTGCCCCCTGACTTATTTAAAGGCCCCCTGAGTTTAAAAAAAATCCTGGCTGCGGTCCTGAAACAGAAGTGATTTCAGTTGAGAGATCAACAAGTTGGGCTTTATAGCTCCACATCACATCTAATTGGAGCTGGGGCTCATGGTGAGTTCCTACACTCTGGGGAGAGATATAAATGGGAAGGATGAATGGATGTCAAAATAACCTTTTGCTGCTGAGCTGACTGGGTTGCCAACCCTGGCATGAGAGATTCATGGAGATGTGGAGGTGATGCACGGGGAAGGCTGACCAGAGGTTCAGAGGAGCCAGGGCAGAACTGCAGGACTCCTCCAAGGAGCTAAGAGCTGCTTCGTTTGTGTTTCATCATGACCCTCTGAGGGAGGCTCACTGGGTTGCCCGCCATGTCAGGCAGCCTCCAGCTCTTGCATTCCCTCTCCTGTTCTGGATCAATGGAGCAACAAGAGGAGAAAAGGGGGGGGGGAAGCCATCACAGAGCCTGCAAGGCTCTCAGAACTTCCCCCAAACTCTATAATAAAGACCACTGAGACTGGTGAAATCCATAGAGCTTTGTGGACACTGTTGCCCAGAAGATACTCCCCCCTCCATGGACAGAGGCCACCCAGGAAGCCCTCGCTCTTGGAATCTCGTACCTTGGATGTCCCAGACAGGGTAAAGTCCCTGGTCCCGCTCCCATTCTGGAAAGCATGCCAGCTATACCCAGGAGTTAGCCCTGTAGCTAGATGATTTTTGGTGGTGGTGGGCACTAGGGGGCATGACGTCACTTCTGATGTCACCAAAAATAATAAAAACAAAATAAAAACAGGAGAGCGCTCTCCTAGCCCTCCTGGCTGCCTGAAGGGGGGAGGGGAAGGGAAGTGCCATGGGAAGGAAAGAGGCTCACTTTGTCTTTTCAGCTCTTTGCTGAACTGTGCGCCCTCCTGGAGGTGCAGCCGCTCCCCTCAGCACCTTCCCCCTCCCCCCCACCTCCTGCCACATGCTTGTGGGAAGAGTGCCCCATGATGGACCCATTCTTCTTCTTCTTCTCTCCTCCTCCTCCTCCTCCTCCTCCTCCTCCTCCTCCTCCTCCTCCTCCTCCTCCTCCTCCTCCTCCTCCTCCTCCTCCTCTGTGAGGCAGATTTTCCCGCCAAAACACTGTTTCCCCACTCTGGCTGAGCAGCCTCTTAGTAGCATATTTGAATGATAGAACTATAACTTTCTACGTGTCCCACCCTGGGATGGAGAAGTTATTTGTCTTTTGCCCAGGCCAGAGATGTTTTGTAACTCAGCAGGAGCCCTCCTATAAATCCGTTTTCGAAATGGCACTTGACCCAAAGTTTCTTCTAGGGCTACTGACGTCAGTCTCACAGCTGGTTGGCTCAGATGCAACGGGGGTTGCCAACTTCCCGGTGGGGCCTGGAGTCCTCCCTGAATGACAGCTGACCGCCACAGAAATCAGATCTCTTGGAGGAAATGGCAGTTCTGGAAGGGAGACTCTGTGGCATCACTTCCCCGATGACATCTTCTCCGTCCCCAAACTCCTCCCGCCCCAGACTCTACCCCTAAATCTCCAAGGAATTCCCAACCCGGTGCTGGCAACCCCTGGTGAACGACTATAGGCTATGATCTCTGGTGAAGCAGAAAGCTGCCAATTGACTGAAATGTGCAGTTTCGATCCACTTCAGCGACTGTTTGCAAGTGGATTCTGCCATT